TACTGTTAAGCATTAATCTAATTAAGAAAGTTACATTTTTATCATGCTGAATTATACAGTCACTTTGCTACCAAAATTGCATCTAAGTAGCAGACCAAACATTTACATGGGGAAGAATATTTGAAATTGCTAGACTGGGTTATTGCTCTGCAGTAGGGCATGGAGAATCTTAAATCTCGAGTGAAAATCCCAAAGGAAATGCTTTCAGTGATAGAAGCTTTGGTACAAGGATAGTCAGGGTTGCAATGAATGTAAGCATTTTATTACTAAAATATTTTTAAAATTTGTCTAAGCAATAATGTAATGCTTGTATCAGTAATAGCAATCTAGAAAACATTCTCATAATCTTTCTCTTCTCTATGGTAATGAAATCTTCATAACACAGAAAACTTCAAAGATAATGATATTTTAGTCAAAGCAATTTTGACCCAGTTTTGTGTCACCCCAAACTACTGATAGGTATAATTTTTTGTGGGATGACTTTTCACCAACTTCGGTTCTGTGAATCTTCTTCATGGTTGTGTCCAGATAAAAAAGGTCACATTTGGCATAGAAAGCCCTTAAACCCATCAAAAGTCATGAGGAAGGACAGCCCAGTGGGAAAAGAAGGGTCTTTAAACCCAGAAGGCCTTCAGCCTGCATTCAAACTTTCCCACCAAAGAGCAGGGTGACAGTGTTTCTCTGTATTTGCAGCCAAAATGTCCATTCAAGATAAATGGGCATGGCTGGTTCATCCACCCATTGGCCTGTGCACACTTCGAAGGAAGGACTGTATTCTACCTCTGCTTTTCTCATCTGTGAAATGGGAATAATTTGGAGCATCTCTAGGATGGCTGGCAAGCTTCACAGGGCAATGTATGTAACAGCATCTGGCATCTAGCCTGACACCTGTGCTCAATAGTGCAATGACAATTCTCTGTGGCCTCTACCATTCCTGTAATAAATATAATGACTTTTCTTCCCAGCTAGTGCTACATTCAAGGATTTGTTCGTGTGGCATTTGTCCATACCAAGCACCCGCAGGCAAATTCAGGCTAGCTACAGCCAGTTTGTCTCTATAAGGCCTTTCATCTACTCTCGGGATCTATGGCTGAGATGTTTTCAAACATGTAGCTAATACACTAAGTGGGGGAACTGGCTTTACGGCAGGGAAAACCCACATTATGGCTAATCTGCTTTTATATTGGGTTTTTATGGAAACTATCCAGGCATTCTTGATAGCATGAATTGACATACAGGAGCTTCTGGGTTAAAAGGGGGTCTGGATGGCTTCCAAGTGGACACAGTGCAAATGCCAACAATGAAGTTTAACAAAATAACTTGATATTTGGAGCTACCATCTTAGTATTTATAAGACTAATTGAAGTCAAGGACTAACTGAATGGACACCCTTAAGTTCATGGAGGCTGTCTGAAAGGACATCTGAATACATCTTACCAATTTCTATCTATAATAGCTCATAAAAGACCAACAGGGCCATCCATTTCTGTAAGGCCACTATACTGACAAGTTTTTGACAGATACTATAATAAACTAGATGAAGCCATTCAACTCAAAAAAGAAAATCCAAGTTCTTTGGTTTGTTTTCTGTCTCACCATTACCCTTTAAAGACTTTATTAAGAAACTATAAAGTAACACAATGTCAGCTGTATCCATTCAGACCCTGAATCTGGTACCTGAAACAAATGGGTCTTTTAGAGACATAACAGTACGATGTTACTGTACAAATATACAACTCTACAACCCTGAGAAATATATTTCACTTTCTTAAGCCTATGTCTTGCCCTCTTTTGTGGGACAGAGACTTTTAGGTGGGGAGGTTAAAAATTCCATTGGATTTAGAAGACCCAGGTAGGGCCTGTCCCAAGACTACCACATATCTCAGGCTTATAGTGACTAGGAGGTGGGGGGAACAAACGACCAGGTCTTCTATCTTCCCATTAAGGATTAAAGTTAAATGTACTTTTATTACTGTGTTGTTAGACTCAATTACTAAAGTGTATAACTGCTCACATTTGAATTCTGAGAAGTGTTTGTATGTGTACCCATATGCATATATACTTATGCTCATTAATTTGCTTAGTTTTCCTTATAAGGCCCTATCTATAAATTCCCCTGTGATTAAAACTCACATCTTCTAATTCCCGAAGTGCTTTCCCCTCCCCCAAATACCACCACTGAGACAAAGCAGAGGCTCAAACTCAGGTCTCCAAACTGCTCCAGTTCAATAGTCTTCCTAAAGCACATGGGATGTCATTCTATGAATGGAACCCCATAAAAAGCACTGTATGCCAATGGAGTATATTGATCTGAAAAATACTTCCAAAAGGCCAATCATATTGCTGGGGTCGGCTCAGAAAGAGCAGCACCTGTCAAGAACAAAGAGAGACCGTGGCTGACTCCAAAAGCCTATACTCAAGCACACGGGGGCCAGCGTTTTCAGATCTGGTGTCCATGCACACAGTCCTTATAAACAATCCATACTCAAATGGAAGATCTGTGTTTCATCAACAGGGAAAACAGGCCAAGATAAGGCAAACTAATAACGTGTCCCAGTAATTAAGGGATTCTGTTTTACAAGAATTTAATCTCTCTTTGTTGCACTAAGTGGCAGGAACATGCCCAGGACATCTATTAGCCTTGGGTGGGTGTCTTTCCTGCAGCGTGGCTGCTTCCCACCAAACTTTAGGCACCAGCAGTCTGTTTATGCCCATAATGTTCTTAATCATCTAGAAAATTTCCCTGCCAAGAGGAAAATCCTAGAAGGTACCTTAAAAGTCACAATACAGTCAAATATGGGAGAGTATTAGTGATGGGCAAACTGATCATTTAGAAGCTAATAATAAAAGTAACTTTATTATGACTCTGATATGTCCTATATTAAGCCCTATCACAGGAAGGAAACTTACTCCAGCTAATATCTGATAAGAGAGTGCTTGGACTTTAGGCAGACAAAAAGAGAGCAGCTCACTCAGAAAATAGATTCAGTGTCTTTTTGATTTACTAGTGTTTCCTATAGAGAATTTTTGTCTTATTAACGATGCTATATGCCACCACACTATGAAATGTTGTTCTTTGAAAATTAAGCCTCTAACTATCAACCACAATTGAGTTTATTTTTGTTAGTTACAAACCACTGAAACATTGCAATCTATGGTATATAGGGAAAGTGGCATATTTATTTCACAGTGGCAGCCTAATATTTGCTTTAGGACTAAAATTATTTTACAACAGAAAATATATTTGTTTATATTTTCATTTTTGGAAACCTTCATTGATTTCCTAAAGGCTTATGTGAGTGTGTGTGTATGTGTGTATCTTATTGACTTTTTTATTGGGGTGAGATGAAGTAGGAGTGTAGGCAGGAAGGGTAAGATCTATCATTTACTAGGATAACAAGAGGAAGAGAAATTCACAACATGATAAATAGAGAAGCTGAAACGTACAATATCAAAGATGATTTTTGTTTTTGTGTTTCCATATCATTTAGTCCTTAAATCAGGATTATGTTTTGATTATGTGCTTCTGTTGTTTTTTTCTCAGTTCTTAAAATTGAGGATTCTCGATTGTTGAACTATGAATTAAAAGGCACAGATCAGCCCAGAAAACCAAATAAAAGGGCTGATGATGGGGGTCAGGGCTTTAGGGCTTCGCTACGGAACTATACCAAGAAAGTAGAAATGCCATTGATTTCCCAAAGCCCCAGTCTATTGGGGAATCATTCCCAGTTGTTTTATGCAATTATTCATGATCTTCCAAAGGTGAGCAATTCGCTTCAAGTGTTCCATTAGGCCACTTGAATGTCATAAATTATTTCATTAAAAAAATTTCAAATGTGTGCCTATTACACAGAAAAGTCAACTTCCATTTTCTATTATGTGGAATGAAAGAAGTTGTGAGAGAAATACTCCCTTGATACCCTCTTGGACAAATGGATATTAGAAAATCTACAATAGTTAATCTGAGGAAATTGGTTTCTCTAAGCCCCTCCTTTAGTTAACATTAATAAAAAATGAAGACAGTGCTGAGTGAATTGCTAGGCCCTGGCTCCTGAACTGCACCCTACCATCATGCAATCTCTTACTCCCTGTCTTCCTTGATGTCCTTGTTTGTCTTTAATATACAGATGCCAGATGACCTGCAAATAGTGAGGCCTTGGACTGACTGGCCGAGGCAATTCACTCAACATTTCATGTCTGATCATGGCTGCTCAGATGTGTCCCTTATCTATCCTAGTCAGCAGTAGCCGAATATTGTACATAATGATCTCGTTAGCTGAAGTCACACAGTGCTGAAACAACTCTTAAAAATATGGAAAGCAAGGGATCTAGATTATTTTTTCCCACTGAAATCACTATTGTTTTCATACCCCAGGTATTGATCAAGCCTGTGTTGACTCCATATCATTAGAGAGGGAAATGGTGATCTAATTCATTTCTACTATTACTGGCTTATCATGGGTGACATGGTCTGAATGCTTGTATCACCTCTAAAATTCATATGCTGAAATCCTCACCCACAAGGTGACAGTTTTATAGGAGGTGGGGACTTTTGGAGGGGATTATATCTGAGAGTCAAGCCCTCATGAATGAGATTAGTGCCCTTCCAAGAGGCCTAGAGAGAGAACTGTCACCCCTTGCACCTTGTGAAATTAGAGTAAGAAGACAGCTTTCTGTGAGCAAATAGATCCTCACCAGATATTGTTTCTTCTGGTGTCTTGATCTGGAACTCCCCAGACTCCAGAACACCGAGAACTAATTTTCTGTTGTTTATAAGCCACTCAGTTTATAGTTTTCTGTTATAGCAGCCTGCATAGACTAAAACAGTAGGGAATCTGATTCTCCTACCCTGACTTAATTACATAGTACTATGAGTCAAGGTGCATAGTTTCAGGAGAGAGAACAAGTTCAGCTCAGCACTGAGCCATTGTTTCCTTGCCAAATGTCCCCCAACAGGCCCGGTTTGCAAACCTAGTACTCACGATTTGAATGACACTGACTTTGTAGACACTCTGCTAGTTGGATCACTCCACTCTGAAAAAAAAAGAGGACACGAATAATTACTGCTCATGTTTCTACTGACAAATGATTATTCAGAATTAAATTGGTCTCCAGACAGGTAGCCCTGTCAGTTATGTAGTTTCATACCTTCCTGCCATACATTATAGACAAACAGGGAATCAACTGAGTGTATTACAATATATTACAACATAACTTCTTGTTATTGTTGTTCTTTCATGGTTAAAGGATTTTAGAAGAGGACATGGATATTTGGACTGAAAAAGGATTTTTCAAAAGCACTTACTTTGTAAGGTGAATCCAGGGGTCAGATGTTGGGATTCCTGTAAGAAACAACACAGAGATACAGACATTATTTAAACAATACAGGTGGAACGAGAGGTATATCTGTTATTGCTATAGGCATAACTTGACTGTTTGCAAATACGAAACCACTGTTAACAATTCCATTAATTAGGCTCTGTCTGTAGCCAAACCTGCTGCGACATGATCGTAACTGCCATTTTATCAGAATGATAAGTCATACTGCTGTCTCTTTGGAAATGTCTGCAACATGGGAACGAATGACCCATATGTGTGAAATTTGAGTGTATAATTTCTCACATAGCTGGGCAATGATGCCTCTAGGGAAGGAAAGGGAACTTGGTTTAAACAAACAAATGATCTTTTCTTTTTGTAAAAGTGTAAACAAGACCATAATTAATCGATTTGCTCAATTTTTTCCCTCTCATAGAAACAGCTCTACCTTCACTCTGACATGTAGGCAGTAGATGGACCTCATTTTGTACAAGAGAAGTGTTCTGAAAACTTCATTATGAGTTTGTTGAAATATAAGAAGCAATGTGAGATATTAGTGAACTGCATTATTTAAAGGAATTTAAATTTGATTGGAAAGTCACCCTATACACAATTCATTCACTGCACTGAGAAAGCCACACTTGCACACACCAGGCTTGCTGGGAATGTGGCACACCTGTACCCATGCTGACAAAACTTGAAAGTAGAAGCGTTACAGTGATGTTCAGGACACCCACGGCGCCTTGTGGATGGAAGAGAGGCTTGGTACGTACTACAAAGCAAGCATTCCAAAACTAGAGAACATGAATTCAAGTCAATACAAGAATTAGTTATATCAATCACTGCTGAAAGAAATCTATTTATTAAGCCTAATCTTGACACCCTCTACAGCAAAGCTTGGATCATGATTGCATAATTTATCATTTTTAAAAGTAAGCAACGACTGTAACACTGTGCCTTAATTGAAAGTGAACTTTCTGATTTATTTAGCATGATTCTGTTGCTGAAAAGATTTGTCTTCTGGTAAGATTCCCCACTGTCGAAGACTACCCCAAATTCAAAAAGAGGTGGAAAAGACCTCTAGGCTCGGCCGGTGCCTGTGGCTCAGTGGGTACGGCGCTGGCCTCATATACTGAGGGTGGTAGATTCAAACCAGGTTCTGGCCAAACTGCAACAAAGAAATAGCCAGGCATTGTGGTGGACACCTGTACTCCCAACTACTCATGAGGCTGAGGTAAGAGAACCGCCTAACACCAGAAGTTGGAGGTTGCTGTGAGCTGTGATGCCATGGCACTTTACTGAGGGCAATATAGTGAGACTTTGTCTCTACAAAAAAAAAAAAAAAAAAAAGACCTCTAGGCTAAAGAGCTGTCATAAAGCCTATGAAGTTTGCTGTTGAAAGACTGTACCCACCTTGGTTGAGAACTGACTTTGGACAAAGATCTCTAAAAAACTTGAATATTTGATTTTCACCCCTTAGCAAATCATAGGTGACAAGGAAGGTGAAAATCTTCTAGAGGCACAAGCATTGGGACATTGGCATGTGAAAACCAATGGCGTGGGAATACACAGAAAATGACACAGCAAAGTCAGAACTTGAAAAGCACAAGACTCTAAGATTATTTATTACAGAGGCAAGTATTCCTATCCGTCTTAATGCGTCCCAAATGCACAATTGCAGAGTAGCAGAATATTACAGTACAGTGCAACAACTGATGCTCATCATCATATGTGCTACCAAGAAAGACTAAAGTATGCTCAGTGTAATCTTTCAAAGAAGTCAGGAAAATAGGAATTACCTTTCAAAATGATTTCTATTATATTCTTCCCATAAATTTCAGTTATGCAAGAGCTTCAATTATCCAGAATGTCGATTTCCCAGAGTGCCAAAAAAGCCGTTAATAATTTGTATCTAAGTAACTACATACCAGGATTTCCATCTATTATTTTTAAGTGATTTTCTTACAAAGGTACAGGGTGCATTGGGGCTTTTATCAGGAAATTAAATGACAAGTTCTAAGGTCAATCCAACTAAATATCTAATAGACAGTATAACATAAAATTTTTGTACTAACCCTGTAAAACTGAATTTTTTAGCCTTCATTGAAATACTTTGGACTTTAGACCAAATCAATCAGTCATTCCAGGGCAACACAGAAGTAATGCATGAAGCAAACGGGAAGATTGTGTTGTTCACAGAATCTGAGAAACTGGTGTCATATATTCTTGATATGGTATTTAATGTAATCTAGATACGAAATTTTTTAAACCAGAAATCCAAACAAATGAAATATTTTTGTCTGTCACCAAGCTACATACATTCCTACCCCACATTTATTATAGCTTGGTCTTGAAAATAATCTGCATTATTCATACAGGAATTTTGAATGCCTATAACATAAATTTTTTATTGAGACAAATTTTTACTTTGTCACCCTCTGTAGGGTGCAGTGGTGTCACAGCTTACAGCAACCTCAAACTCTTGGGCTTAAACAAGCTTCTTGCCTCAGCCTCCTGAGTAGCTGGGACTATAGGTGCCTGCCACAATGTCCTGCTAATATATATGCATATATATATATTTTTTTAATTGCAGTTTTAGCTGGGGCTGGGCTTGACCCCACCACCCCCAGTATATGGGGCCGGCGCCCTCTTTGAGCCACAGGAGCTGCCCCTAATATTTTTTTTTAGCTCTCGCTCAGGTTGTTCTTGAATTCTTGAATGCAATAAATCCGCCCACCTTGGTTCCCAATAGTACTAGGATTACAGGCATGAGCCACCGTGCCTGAACCACAGAATACAATTTTTTTTTTTTTTTGAGACAGAGTCTCACTTTTTCATCCTTGGTAAATTCCTGTGGCTTCACAGATCACAGCAAAACCCCAAACTATTGGGCTTAATCAATTCTCTTGCCTCAGCTTCCTAAGTAGCTGGCACTATAGGCGCCCACCACAACGCTCAGCTATTTTTAGAGACGAGGTCTCGCTGTGGTGCAGACTGGTCTTGAACTCCCGAGCTTAGGCAGTCCACCCTCCTTGGCCTCCCAGAGTGCTAGGATGACAGGCATAAGCCACTGCGCCTGGCCTCATAATATAAAATTTTTAAAATGCCAGACTCTGACCTGTGTACTTTCTTACTAGACATGCCACATATGTACTTTTAGCAGTAAAATAAAATGAAGCCAAATTGTTTTCAGAAACTTATGTGAGGCTCTTTTAAATAACAGCCTTGCCAATAATCCCACAAGCAGGAGATCCTGTAAGAACTAGAGCAGCGATGTTCAGCCAGTATGCTGCAGTGCACTGCTGTGCCGGGAGAAGGTCTTAGGTGTGCCACCCAAACTTTTAAAGTCCATTAAGTAAATTATTTGCAAAAGAGCTTCAAAGCACAGTAAATACATTCCTTATTTTTATTCCTTTTTTTTTTTTTTTGATCAATGTAATTTAAGTGTGTTGTGGAAGTTTCAAGCATGCTGTGAGATAAAAATTGTTGAAAAACACTGAAATAGAGGTTGGCTAACTTCAGCTTCAAAGCGCCAGATAGTAGATGTTTTGAACATTGGAAGCCATAGCATTTCTGTCATAATCAGCTGACTCTGCCATTGTCCTGTGAAAGCAATCACAGACAATTACCCAAATAAATGGGCATGGACGGGTTCCAAGAAAGCTTGATTTATAGCCATTGAAATTCAAATCCACACTAATGTCCATATTAGTCCCAAGAATATAATGTTTTTCTTTTTTATGGTTTTTTTGGTTGTTGTTTTGTTTTGTTTTTTTGCAGTTTTTGGCCGGGGCTGGATTTGAACCGGCCATCTCTGGCATATGGGGCTAGCGCCTTACTCCTTTGAGCCACAGGCGCTGCCCTGTTTTTCTTTTTTAAAGGTTAACCATTTAAAAATATCAAAATCTATGGACTTTAGGTTGCCAAACTCTGTTCTACAGAATGTGTATCTCCATTAAGCCTTTCCTGAACTTCCCCTGCGCCTCCGATTACTCCTCTATTCTGCTTAGCACGCTCTTACTCCCTTCCTTGTGAGCTTCCCCAATCTCTATGACAAAACGCAACATCTTCAATTTGAGATTGATAAGTCAACTTATGAATTTTCGGGGATGGTGCTTTACAGTGTAGATAGGCTTCAAGCAGCAGGAGTTGTTTTAACAAACTTACAGAATAACTGACCATTCCAACTGAAAAAAGGTCATTGAGATCATATAGTAAACACACGTCTACACACACGCACACAATGTGCACTGTACAGATGGGGAAACTGTGTTGCAGAGCACATTACTGAACTACTATGTGCCTCAGTTTCCTCCTCTGTAAACTGGTAGTTATTTTAAAATTACCAGTTGCTTTGGGTTGTAGTGAATATTAAATTACTCTATCTTAAGCGCTTAGAATGAGGAGAGGTATGTGGTACTATTACAAGTGCTGCTGATGTTATTTAAAATGCATTCTTCTTTCAAACCAACATTTTGGCAAGAATCAAATGAAATAAAAGAGTGGGCGTGGTTTTGCCATTTTACCCTACTTGTTTCTACCTTTATCACGGAGTTGATGGCAGCACAGATAATTGGCAGAAAATGCAAATTGGGTCTGATTACAAATTGTGCACTTACTACAAAAGCACGTTTAAACAACCAGTTCTATTGTACGTACTTGTAAATGTCAGAATTGGAACTTGTACAAATTATCTCTATAACTGGGGAACACAGCCAAAAACACTGCCTAAAATGGATGGATTGCTCCCTTTGCTAGAGATGCCAGGGAGGAAGGATACCTAGTCCATGGCAGCCTGAAGAGGGAGGGTGGGCCATCGGAAGGAATAACACGTACTCATAAGGGACTGTGACGGTCACTGCTGACTTAATTCTGACCCCTTTCAAAGGTGAGAGGGGATAATTAAACAGAGTTTAGATCAGTGTTAATGTCAAAATCATGACCCTGAAAATGAAAGGATCTGATGGGATGTTTATTCTATAAATAAAGTCCCACTTCGGGTGGCATCCAAGGCCTTTAAAAGAGAAGCACCGACTTGCCTGGGGTTGCTCACTCTTCACTCCCCATCACGCAAACTCTAATCCATCCACTTGAGATCTCATGCCCATATGGTTCACACCACAGCCTCGCATCTCTTCGTGACCTTGCTCATTCTGGTATTTATTCTTCATGGAATGTTCTTGTCTTGAGTCCTTCTCCACCTATCAGCATTCTAACCATCCTCCAAATGTTGTCATTTCAGTGGTGAGCACTTCCTCAACTCCCCGGGGGAGTGTAGGATCTTTCTCTGAGCCTGATATCATCTATGAAATTAGAGAGGAAGAAAATTCCTCTACTTGTTTAGTGATCTACCTGTGGTGTAGGAGTTTTCTTCATTCCTAACTTGAAGCCCATTGTATGCCCTCAGGAAATGATTAAATAAGTGGACAAATGAAAGAAAGAAAAGAAGGAAGGAAGACTTTTTTTCCTTTTTATTAAATCATCACTGTGTACATTAATGCAGTCGTGGGCTATAGTGTGCTGATTCTATATACAATCTGAAATATTGTCCTCAAACTGGTTAACATAGCCTTCATGCAGGAAGACATTTTTAAAAGCATGTTAGAATAGCTATGCCCAGAGATTCTTAAAACTAATGGTGATAAAAAATTCTTACTATGAGCAGATGAAGAAAAAGTTATAAGAAATGATTACCAATAGACCCGTAGAAGAAAAATATTAAAGTGATGTATTGGTTTTTAAAGATCTGTGTGCTGGTGAGCAAAGACTAGAAAGGGACGTACAAAAATGAAAATAGGTTCATTAGAGTGGAGTCAAACCTTGCATGATGTTGTCCAATCATCTATTTGCTGTTTCTTAAGGGATGAATTCCTTCACTGGAGCACAATGACTTGGACAGTGGCAATGCTCTAGGTGGTAAGGTATAGATGCTAGGACCTGTGTAAATATTGCCTTAGAGACTCTCTTCCAATAAAAAGTATGTTTATATTGCCATCCCAAGGGTTTAGAGAGTGCAAATTTTGTGGTAGACCGAGGCCATTTTTATCATTAAGAATCCAGTTGGAAGTTTGGTACCATTAAAATGAGATCAAGGAAAATGGAGGAAGGAAGAAGACTGACCTGTCCTGGGATGAAAAATGTATTCTGCTCAGAGTTTCCAGAAGTGTGTATGCCAGTGAGAGGAGTAGGCCAGGAATGGGTCATCTCCTGATAAGGAAAAACAAAGCAACTTTATTTCCGGGCACTTAGAAAATCAACCTTCTCTTTGGCACTAAATATAATGAGTCCTTTATAAATACTTGCTGACTTAACCGGCCTTAATATTTCTGCAGGAAGATCATAAAGTCATTTGGTCCAATCCCCTGTTCACATGGCTGCCTGAGCATACAGCATCTGATTATACATTGCCAGTAACAGGAAGGTCACTACTGATTGAAGTAGCCTGCTCCAGATTGCGACAGCTTGATCAGGCTAGTTGTCTTTGTGAGCTAAAATCCTGCCCTCTAGAAATTTCCACCTGTGGCTCATACTTCCAGGGTGCACAGAACACATCTCCCTTGCTTACATGACACACCTTCAGCTGTTGGAAGACAGTAATCCTATCTGCTATGTTGTCTCTTCTCTAGGATGAGACACTTTCAGCTTTTTTATTCAGTTCCTGAGAAACTTCAACTTTTCTTCTGATGCTCAAGTTCTGCCCTCTGCCACTGTCTTAGTTACTCCCGGGAAGACTGCTGCAGCTCTTCTACCTCATGGCATCCTATTCCCAGTGTGATCTGCCAACTCAAGGGAGGGCCGCAGTGCCTGCCCTCTCATACTCATCCAACAGTTAGTGACACGTGCCGTACGCCAGGCTTGTGTGGTGGATTTTTCCATGCAATGATAAGACAGCTGAGAATTTTCTTATTCATAGACAATATTAGTATGATATTGGTAGCTTCGTTCCACCCAGCCATGCACACAGTGTATTTGTGAGTTCAAGTCTCAAAACAGGAAAAGCCCCTCAGGCTCCCACTCTCTGTTATCAGCAGGGGCACCTTCTCAGCTCTTTCAAACGCTCAGCTTGAAAAGAGGTGCTGTTCAAATCTTGCTTGAGTCTTAGGGCACGTGGCCAACATGCCATACCCTCAGAGCAAGGATAATTAAATCACATGCTCAAAATCCCAGCAACAGAAAGATGACAAATTTTGTCAAGCAGGAGGGAGTCAGCGTGTGTTGGATTCATCAAACATTTTTTGTATATAAACATTAAACAACAAAAAAATCAATGTAATGACAGAAATAAAGGAGGGCTTTGAGGAGGGGTTTGCAAGATGAAAGTTTATGAGAGTCCTTTTTAATGAGTAAGTGACATAATACTTTTCTTCCAGTCTTTATGGGAAACATAATTAGTCATTTCAAAGGTAATATTAATAAGAACTCTCAGGTAGCACTACAACATGGTTTTTTCCTTCTATAATTACCCAGTTCAAAAAGAATCTTTGATGTTTGAAGAGCTGTAATGCAAGGAGATATTTCACAGATTCATTCACAGTGGCACTGCTGAAGCAGAATTTGTAAGTATTCAAACAAGCACTGACACAGATTGAATTTTACCTAGCACTCTTGAAAAAGGGGTAGGTAAGTGTATATTAAAAATGCATATGCGATTTAGAGGAGTGCTTAACCTACTTTAGAGAATACTATTTCCAAGTGTTTTGGAGTTGTGCGTTTGTATCCAGCTGATAACATTCATGACAAATCCTACTTATGTATTCATCAAAACTCGTTCCCAAGTAACTCTACGTGAGAACAGTTTCAAACCGAATTCTGATTACCCTGTGTTTTTAAAACACTCGATGATGTCTTTGAAGATGGTGTTTCCTGATTGAGGCTGGTGCTCCAAATAGTCAGATCATTTAAAATGTAGATCTTGGTGTCAGTGAGTGGGTGGGGAGATGATGGTCAAAGAGTACAAAGTTTCAGTTTGGAGGAATATATTCCTGAGAGCCACCGTACAACATGGTGACTAGAGTGAGTAATAATGTACCATGGACTTGAAAATTGCTAAGACAGTAGATTTTATATTATTATTGTTGTTGTTGTTGTTGCTATTGTTGGGGATTCACTGAAGGTACAAAGAACCAGGTTACACTGATTGCATTTGCTAGGTAAAGTCCCTCTTATAATTGTGTCCCGCCCCCAAAAGGCGTGTCACACATTGTGACCTCTCACCCCTCTCCCTCCTTCCCTCTCTCTGTTCACCCCTTCCCCTATCCCCCCATCATGTACTAGGTCATTAATTGTCCTCATATCAGAATGCAGCACACTGGATTCTTGTTTCTCCATTCTTGTGATGCTTTACTAAGAAGAATGTGTTCCACTTCCGTCCAGGCTAATAGAGAAGATGTAAAGTCTCCATGTTTTTAATGGCTGAATAGTATTCCATGGCATACATATACCACAGCTTGGTAATCCATTCCTGGTTTGGGGAACATTTAGGTTGTTTCTACATTTTGGCAATTATAAATTGAGCTGCAATAAGCAGTTTAGTGCAAGTGTCCTTATGGTAAAAGAATGTTTTTCCTTCTGGATAGATGCCTAGTAATGGCATTGCAGGATCAAATGGGAGGTGTAGTTTGAGTTCTTTGAGGATTCTCTATATTTCCCTCCACAAAGGTTGTATCAGTTTGCAGTCCCACCAGCAGTGTAAAAGTGTTCCTTTCTCTCCACATCCACACCAGCACCTGCAGTTTTGAGATTTTGTGATGTGGATCATTCTCGCTGGGGTTAGATGATAGCTCAGGGTGGTTTTGATTTGCATTTCTCTAATAATTAAAGATGATAGATTTTAAATGTCCTCACCATAAAAAAGCATTTGAGGCAATGAATATATAAAATTGATTTAATCATTCCATAGTATATAAACATTCAAAACATCACATTTTACCTTGTAAGGACATACAAATTTTATTTTTCAATTAAAATCAATTATTTTTTAGATGAATAAAATATAGTTCATATTTAGCCAGAGTCAACAATGGAGCAGCAAGCGCAGCCTGGGAAAGGAGTGCTTTGGAGTATACTCAAAGTCTTAGACTTCAGGCATTTCTCAAACGTACATGCTTCCCCTTGGGTTTTCTGTATTTACTCTGTGGCACTATCTTGAATTACCAGCGAATTGCACCACCCTGCTGGCCAGTCCACTTGGAACTGCACATACTTTTGTGTTCTCAATTATAACTAATTTCAAACCATATCTGAAGATGGGTGATTTTATGAAACAGCACACTGTGCCCATGTTACCACTTGGTTACACTGGGGAGGATAGAGTTGAAAGGAACATAATGTCCTGAAAGAATGTTTTCAGCAAAGGGATCTGGAGCAAGTTCTTTCACTTCTCAAAATGAGATGGACCCATAAAGTGTGGCAAGCTAACAGCAGATATTCCATTGTTATGCTTTTCGTTAACACTTGAAGGATATTAATCTATTTTATAATCTTGCTGTTCCCAAGATGAGAACACCCAACCACACTAATGCTTCACTCAATTGGGAAATAGGAATGAGGTCCTGCTCACTAAGCATCCCCTCTCCTCTGATGAACATTAATGCACATGGACACTTACATCTGAGATTGGTCTGAACTTCCACAAAAAGCCCTTTGACATGAGAGAGAGAGAAAGAGAGAGAGAGAAGGGAGAGATAGTGCACAAGCATGGATTCATCTTCCTACTGGGCAACTGAGGTAATGGGGCTTCCAAGAAGTGAGGTGGTTTACACATAGCCTTACGATAACAAATGTGTCTCCCCTTCGTAAGACTAAAATGGTTAATGAAGAAAGGACTAAGTAATGCATTTTTTTGTATTGTAAAAAGAATAAGTTTCACAAGTTATAGAGCATTCTGTGTAATTTCTAATAATGGGTAAACACCCAATTTAGCATGATGCGAAGACTCCAAGGTCAAACCCAAAACAATCACTGAAGGCCCAATTTTCTACCACATTATCCACAGCATGGCTCATGGCTCGGACTCTAGCAAATCCCAAACAACTTGTAGGTAGTCCTGCTTTTCCCACTTTAGATTAAGAATCTGGGTACTCCAGACCGAGGGGCAGAAGGCAGTCTATGTTCTAGGCCTTGCTAATCTCAAATGCATTTCATAGTCACCTAACATGGAGCTGGCTGGCTGTTATTTCTAATAACTACTTGGTTGTCACAAACTTACCTTATTCAGTTTTGTATCTCCTGTGCCTAGTAGGTAGTAATTGATTGGCCTTTTTGTACCACAAACTAAAGAGGCTAGGACTAGCCTCACATCATTTTGACAGATGAGGAACTGAAGACATGAAGAGGTGGAGTGACTTGTCCAAGGCCACACAGTAAATGGCAGGATCTCTTTGGTGGATTCCCTACATTTGTTCCAAACACTTTCACTGAATAGCTGTCATATGCCAGTGGCTGGGATATAGAAATGATAAGGTCAGTTACTTTCCCTTTAAGAGCTCAGTTTGCTTAACACACTAATCACATCGAGAAGGGCATGTGGAAGGGCACAGGGAACATAGTGGTGCCAGGCATTTGGGAAAATCTTCAGTAGTGCAGGTGGCAGAAAGAGTGTGTGTGTAAGCATGTGTGTGTATGTGTGTATGTGTGTATTCTTTTTAGAGAATAACATTGAACTTGGTACATAGTAGCTATTTACACAATATGTATTGAGGTTACACATAAATATTACGTTCCTTACCTTTAAAGAGCTCAAACTGAAGAGATGATTATAGCAACTTTTCAAATGACCATCTTAATAAACGGAAATGATGGTGGCACTTCACATATTTCATTAGCATTGTCGTTGTTATTGTTACAGTAATGAGGAGCTCCCTGGAGTAATTAATAAGATAGGGAGCATTTAACTCAAGTCTAGCTCTGCCAAAACCTACCTACCTGAGTAGACCCCATCAAGGTTTTGCCCATTCTGGACCTCAGTTTTCCTACTTATACTATGTGGTCTTTGGCTTAGATGGCCTATAGACCTTCTCCCAGCTAGCAAGGTTGTTAATCTCTTACCGTACTTCTTCTGCCTAAGTCACAGACCTGCCACAAAGAGAAGTAAGTTTACTTATGTGCTTTGGAAACCATATAGTGCTGGACACATTCACAGCTCACTGCTACCAGCCCCACAAGCATTATGATGGCAGTGCCAGTATGAGTCTGTGGCCTCTGCTGAG